TAATGATGTCATTTTGTCACCATTTTCTAAATTGGTTTATTTCCTATACAAACCCCTGCCTGGCAGGCTGACTGTTTGTTTCCACTTTATAAAGCTCTATATGGTGAAATGTTGTGTATTTATTTAAAGGGATACTCCAGGCACCCAGACCACTTCTGCCCATTGGAGTGGTCTGGGTGCCAACTCCCACTACCCTTAACCCTGCAAGTGTAATTATTGCAGTTTTCTCTAGTGGATATCAGACAGCCACTAGAGCAGGGGTTCTCAACCCAGTCCTCAAGACCCCCTACCAGTCCAGGATTTGGAGATTACCTGGGTGTGTCTCAGGTGTTTAGAAAAAGGGAAAAAAACACCTTAGACTCTAAAGTGTTTTTTTTTTTTTCTAAACACCTTAGACACACCCAGGTAATCCCTAAACCCTGGACTGGTAGGGGGTCCTGAGGACTAACGTTGAGAACCCCTGCACTAGAGGGACTTCCACCTTCTTAAAACACAAAAAGTGTTTTAAGCAACGCTTGACGTCCTCACGCTATGTGAGGACTTCCAGCGTTGCTGAAATCCCCATAGGAAAGCATTGAATTGCATGCGCATTAGGTCTCCCCAGCCGCCTGACGTCGGCGGGGGAGGAGAGTAGGAGGAGCCTGACCAGCGCCAAGGGATATTGGATTTTAACCCCTTCAGCAACTTGGTATATGGGGGATGGGAGGGAGAGGGGGCACTACAGGGTCCTGCAGTTCCAGGAAAACAAATGTTTTCCTGGCACTGGAGAATCCCTTTAAGTATTTTAATTAAAGTGATTTTGGATACTTTTTATACCGTGATTGTGTCATTTTCCTTTTATTATTATTATTGCTTTTATAATTTTTTATTTTTTTTTGCCAGGCATCCTGTTCATCACTCCAGAGAGATCTCCCGAAAGAATCCTAGGTGTGGATTATACCAATCACGCCTGCTCAATCAAATGTGAGTCCATTTTTTTTTTTTTTAGTACTCCTGGTTTAATGTATACAGTGAGCACTATTGTTGTCATTTTTGTGGCTCGTGGTCCTTATACCATTGTGAAAACTGCGCTACTGACTACACTACTACATATATCCTACAAGTGGGGGTTATACCGCTGTATGCCCATCATGCTAGAGCTGGTCTTAGCTCTATAAAACGTGAGTAGGACCATATAAGAATTGCACTTTAAAAGTACCACAAAATATTGGAACATATAGGACTACTAGATTTCTTCTTTGTTTTATTTTGTATATCTATACATTTCCCAAGAAACATTGGATCTGGTATCCCTATAGAAAAGGACGAATAGACTCCTCTATGAGATTTGGCTGCTACCTTTGCAAGTTTACACACTGCCTTTTAGATTTTTAGATTTGATACTTGTTCTTTGTTTTAGTGTTTTAATATTTTAAACACATTTGTTCACAATTGGTGCAACCTGTGCATAATGGTTGTTACTGCTTTTAGGATAGACCCATGGGATATATCCTTTGTTCAGAAAATCTACTAAGCACACTGTGAAAGCCAATCATAGTGATAATGCTGTTTAACCTATTACAAATGATACAAAGGGATATGCATAACTTATATGTGTCTGTGGGTTGTATAGTTTTGCCTATTTCTCCTTATTACTCAGTCATTAATCTTACTGAGAGAAGTACAGAATCGTACAATGTGTCTTGAAAATGTTTGCAAGTTTTAATATAAATTTTGTATATTTTTTTTTTGCCTTGATCACCTATTATACAGCGATTATGTGCTGATGTGCAAATTGGTACTGGCCAGGAATTTTAATTAGGGCGTAATTGTTTTGGATAACATTTGTTTGAGCTTTAATTAGTCACTGGAGGTAGTTTAGAAAAAGATAATATCTTGGTATTTATAAGGCATCTGCATTTTAGGCATCAGATTCTGATTTTGGGGCTATCACTTTAGCAACACTAATAGAAATGTTTTTTTCAATGCTTGCAACCCAGCCACTTCCACTCCCACTACAGATCCAGATCACGTTAAACATGTAAATACATACCCCCAATTAATGTCACATATGAAAATGAGACAGTGGTGGGTGGGACTTATGTCACTGCCTAAAGAGTCATTCTGCCCCCAAAGAGCAGAGTCCACCTAGAAAAGAGGTGTGTTAGATTACACAGAGTGAGTACTAGGCTGACTGACTTATTCACTTAGGGCAGTCCCTATAAACCCAGGGCAGTTGGATGGTATGTAAATATAAGTCATGGAAAAAAAAAAAAAAAACTAGTGCTTTTTAAAGAGAGAAACATGACATAAATATATATATATTATTTGGTGTACTTGACACAAACATTTTTGGAGGTCATTGAGGAATTTCAAGACCTTCCTGATAAACACTACTGTCTTAAAATGGAAATCACTGTGAACTATATTATAGTTTGCTTCAATGAAAATATCACTCTGTTGAGAATATTGCTTTTATCTGGTTTATATATAAAAAAAGGTGATATACTGACTTTAAAGACACAATTTATGATACAGTGACCATCCAAAGGAAAAGCAAAACCCTTAGATTTTCTTTTCGAAACTTATGCAACTTAACATTTAAAACTTAAAAAATGAATTAGAACATAAGAATTCCTGTTCTGCTGAAATAACAAGCTTGTCTAACACAAGTGATGCCAACAATCTAGGCCTTTGAACAGCTGCCTCGTGTACCAAGAGAATCTCTTTCTATTCACTAATGGCTTATGTTTCATCTTTTTTTCATCAAGGGTTTTGTCATACTAACAGGAAAGCTTCATTACTTTAAGCAACCACTGCTAGGCACTTCATGTCACAATTTCTAGACCAGAGATGCTCCGGCTGCTGTAGAGTTATGTTTATGTATGCAGAGCTATCATGTGGGCAGAGTATTCAATGGTTGTGCTCCATTTATTCAATTTAAGCAAATAGAATACAAATTGCATTTCACATCAATAAGCATTGCACAACCAGGGAAATTGGCGATTTTTTTAAAGCAGTGTAAATATCCTAGAGGGGAAGTATTGCTTAAAAGGAATATATATTTTCAGTTCTGTCTTGCAAAGTTCTGCTGGGATTCTATCCAAAATTGTACGGTTTGAGGTTTTCTTTCACTGTAGTGGAACCATACAGGCAGTTAACAGGTTCATTAGGTCCATACTGTGCAAACCCAAAATATTAGCAGCTAGCAAACGTGCATTTGATCACATTAACCTTGTTACTGTTTTATTCACATGAATTTAGTCCTTCTACTGTCTCATCAATATATTATATAGCAGTTTACTCTCACTGCACAAGCTTCCCATTGTTTCTATATAAGTAACTACAGGCAGGGCCGGACTGGCCAAATTTCCTGGTGGGCCATGGCACCCGAAGCCGGGCAGACAGCCCAAAACATCATGCTCATGTAATTTAAATAATTTTCCTCTTGGACTGTGCCAGCTTGTGTCAGTCCGAGGGGAATAAAGAAGGAGGAGCTGGCATCTGGTGAGGCTGCAGTTAGGCTGCTGGATCTTGTCTGTAAGGAGCATGTGTGCCTCAGTGAGCTTTTCTGTACGGAGCATGTGTATTTGTGTCATTGAGCTTTTCTGTAGTGAGCATGTGTGCGTCAGTGAGCATGTGCATGTGTCAGTGAGCTTATCAGTATGAAGCATTTGTGTGAGCTTGTCTGTAGTAAGAATGTGTTCATCAGTGAGCTTGTCTGTAGTGAGCATGTGTTCATCAGTGAGCTTGTCTGTAGTGAGCATTTGTGCCTCAGTGAGCTTGTCTGTAGTGAGCATGTGTTCATCAGTGAACGTGTCTGTAGTGAGCATGTGTTCCTCAGTGATCTTGTCTGTAAGGAGCATGTGTGCCTCAGTGATCTTGTCTGTAAGGAGCATGAGTGCCTCAGTGAGCTTGTCTGTAGGGAGCATGTGTGTTTGTGTCATTGAGCTTTTCTGTAGTGAGCATGTGTGCGTCAGTGAGCATGTGCATGTGTCAGTGAGCTTATCTGTATGAAGCATTTGTGTCATTGAGCTTTTCTGTAGTGAGTGTATGTGTGAGCTTTTCTGTAGTGAACATGTGTGTGTGAGCTTTTCTGTAGTGAGTGTGTGTAAGCTTGTCTGTAGTGAGCATGTGTGCGTGTGTCATTGTGCTTGTCTGTAGTTAGCATATGTGTGTCATTGTGCTTGTCTGTAGTTGGCATGTGGGTGTCAGTGAGCGTGTGTGTGGGTGTCAGTGAGCTTGTCTGTAGTAAGCTTTTGCATGTCAGTTTGTCTGTACTACATTTGTGTGTGTACCAATAAGCGTGTCTGTGTGTGTCAGTGAGATCGTCTGTCTGTAAGCATGTGTTTGTGCATCAGTGAGCTTTGTGTTTTTATGTCAATGAGCGTATGTATGAGATTGTCTGACAGTGAGCCTGTGCATCAATGAGCGTGTGTCAGTGAGATTGTCTCTGTCTGCATGTGGGTATGCTTACTGCATATTTACATGTTTTACTCTGAATGGACCAATATTCTGAATTAGAAAAGGAAATATACCAATATTATGTAAGGCTATGTATTGCCACCCCAGATTAGATATATATATTATATATCTCACACAATACATGGCATAGATTAGTTTTTCCAGGGCTGCTTTGTCTCTCCAGTCTGGCCCTGACTACAGGGTGAGACAAAACTCTAGAACCAACCATATACCTGTGTTTAAAGTCACATATTTGCATTATATAAGCGATACCATCTGGTATACGTTGACAAATTTAAATTCACCATGAAATGTCACATGTATTTGGGTGGTTTAATACTTTTTACTTAGCCTTCACAGTGCATGCTATAGTAGAAGATCACTGTGGTGTTAAAATAATTGCAAGTATACAAGATAATATGAGATGAAGAATACAAAAACAGGTACTCCGTAACCAGTAGTGCCCCTGGAAAAAGAGAAAACTATTTTGCAGTGGTTTGCCTTTTACTAGGATTTTGTGGGGCGCTGAGCCTCCAGCAATGCTGGTATCTCTGCAGAAGCAGAAAGTAGATCCTACCATTTATTAGCCCCTATTTTAGGCTTCTCTCCCACTATCCCAGTTTTCCTCCCGGTGGACAATTGCCTGGTGTCCCTAGATGCGGGTCACCAGGGAGCACAAATGGGATGGTGGGAGAGAAGCCTAAAATAGGGGCTAATAAATAGTAGGATCTACTTCTGTAGAGATACAATGTGAGTGCACCATTACACTTGCTTGCACTGTGCGATGGGCATTAGGTCGATACAGAGAGAATTTGAGCAGCATCAATTTTAAGTTCTTTTTCTACATGTACATATTTGCAGTGTTTTGTAGCAGTGCATTATGGGGCAGGTATACCTTTTTTTTTTACGGGGCTGCTTTTTAATCTTAGTCAGGTCCAGAATTAGAAGCTGCTAATAAGGGCTAGGTGTACGATTTTTAGCTAACAAAAAAAGCACTTACCGGTGGTAGACAGGAATTCCATGTGGTTGTGTCATCGCTGCTAGTACTCATATCAACATTGCAATGGTCAATTTGAGATTGACTTAATCCATGCACTGCCCCTTCATCTTCCATCTCTTCATTCTGCTGCCGTTTCAGACTGGCCAACATCTGCATTTCTGAGACGCTCATCTGGCTTGACTGACAGTTAATCCAGTCGTATCCCTTAATAGACACACAGAAGGGGTCATGCTATTAAATATCTAAAATACCATTGAATTACACAGTTGCTAAAAAAATTTTAAAAAAATAAAATCGCACAAACAAACAAATCCAACTGTTTTTGAAAATGCTAAGTGTAAAATTATATCTTGACCACAAACTATAATTTGTTAGATCAATTATTTCATAAACAATTTATGGTCATATCATAACATTATATGAGAATGGAGGATTTATCAAAGAAAGTGTGCATTTATTTGTATTCGTGTATCCTAGTCTGTTTTCTGCTACACAGACCATCTGTCCTTCCGGATGTGCATTACTTTAAAGGGACATCCTAGGACCCAGAAGCCAATTTACCTTAAGGTGTTAATCCATTTACAATGGGTTTAATCACCAAAAATGGCACCCTACTGCTTGGTCCAGCTTCTTCCACTGAGGAGTCAATCGGGCCTCTGACTGGGCAAAGCTGATAGACTGAGAGTGTTAGCTAATGCTCTTACCACTGGCTCCCTATTCATAAAATCAATGCTCTCAGCATATTCACTGACTTGAAGTTGTTATAGTGCCCAAAGCCTAGCTTCTAGCTATATCACTAACTCCTCAATTGCACACACCTAAAATCTATTTTAGCATTATGCCCAGAGTTACAGGATTATATAATTCAGGAATCTGCACTCAGACATAACCAATAACTATTAGATGCCACTGCACAACTTATTTTTGTTCAACAAACTGTGTTTTTACGAAATAAGCTAGTTGAGCATACTGAGCACACAACCAATGCACAGGCTTTCTCATAAAAGAAAGTGTTGACTTAAACGTTAAGAACATGTATTAATATATAATTAGAACTCAAGGGAATAAGAAAGGTAAAATAATTTAATAAGAATGGAAGAGCTTGTGTTTTGAAAATGGGCCTACAATCAGTCGCATTTTTACATTGAATAAATGTTATTTTTATTTCTGAATCTTCAGCACACTATATGTACATAAAAAATACGTTCCAACAATGAATACTTATACATGCAGAATTATGCAGAAAGAAATGGGTAATATTAAAGCTCATAAAACCAAATTTTAGCTCAAAATGTACAACATTTACATGATCAAGGAATCAAAGCTTTATGATCAAGGAACATTTACAGATCAAGGAAACAAAGCTTTATGATAAAACCATAGGTGTTCCTTGACCTGAGTACTTTATAATAGTATACTCTGTAAGAGGTAAAATTGTATTTCTGACCATTTCTTCATCATGTAAATTTTGTGCATTATGTAATTTTTTTTTTTTATATACTAAAACACGAGTTATATGAACCTGTAACTAATTCTAACAAAACATTTTTATTTTAATACATTCATGGTGTACTGTAGATTTCTATTTGTATTTAACTCACACTGCATGCACCTTTACTTGTATATTCTCATATGTGCACCTACACTAATATCAACATTTTTTTAAAAATATTTAATATTTTAGCTCTTTGAGTTGCCCAAACATCACAAAAAATACATCTGGATACACAGTCACATCTCACTAACATCCAGGCACAGATTTACAAAATTATAGCACCAGGGTACAATGTGTGATCTAGCACTCTTGGCACACACACAGACACACACACACACACACACAAACACACTCTATGATGGGCAGAAAAAGTGACAAGACATATCATGGAAAAGCAAGCAAAAATAATTTTTTGTGGCTATATATACATTGTATGTAATAGATCCAACACAAAACCTAAATAAAGGTTAAAGGTTGGAGGGTGAAAGTAAGGGAACAAGGTATGTTACTTTTAGATTCCTTATTATTATTATTATTATTATTATTATTATTATTATGATGATATTTATAGAGCGCCATCAAATTCTGTAGCGCTTTACAATGGGTGGACGAACAGACATGTAGTTGTAACCAGACAAGTTGGACACACAGGAACAGAGGGGTTGAGGGCCCTGCTCAATGAGCTTACATGCTAGAGGGTGTGGGGTAAAATGACACAAAAAGGTAAGGATAGTATTAGACTAGTGACAGTTGCAGAAGAGGAATCAGTCCTCTTCCTAAGACTGTTTTATGTCTTTTTTTTTTTTTTGGTACGCGTTGAAATTCTTTAAACACAGTATTTCAACATGGTTCAGAATGCAAAGGAACACGCCAGAAAACACCACCTACGCACAGCCTGTTTCAGTCATTTAGTTCACATCAGTATAGCATTAGACATTTTTACTGGCTTACGATAATGAAGCTTCTGAGATATGTTAAGCTTAAAGTGGGTAGAAAGGAAACCTATATAAAGCAGAGTAAAGCATATAGTTGTATTGTCTTTTATTTAAAAGTCTTAGAATGTATAAACTGTTCTGGTAACACTGCAAGCGGCTTTTAAGAGTTTGGCATCTGTCATTCACTACATACTTTACAACTGTCCCAGAACCAATAGGACAGTCCTGATCTGGGAGCCTACATTAAAACACCATGCTGTGGAATGATATCACTATAGTGACAACTTCTGTTTCATAATAAGTACGTACTGCCACTATGCAGGGTTTTATTGATAGCATTTTGAACTCCCAAAACAAAGGGTACATGTGACATTAAGATCTTTTTTTCTTTATAGTAGAAATGTAATGATACCTCTCTGCAGTGTTGGGAATTCCTGATGGTCATCTCTACCGCATCTGGATTCCAACATTCCTTGCACCTCCCAATGTCACAATGCCTCATTCAGATGTCATTCATGACATGAAACGATTGCCCTTTGCCCCTTTTATAATTAACTCTATATGCAATATGCAATTTTTTATGATGTCTGCACACTAGGATGACATCACGCTTCCCTGTAACCAATCCTATACAATATAGGGTATATAACTTCCTAGTTGTCCCTATTTCCCTGCTCTGTTGTGGTTTCTGCAGTGGTGTATCCTGGTTTTGTGCTGCCCTGGGGATGACAAAACTCTGGTACCCCCCTGCTCAGCTCCCTCGTGCGCCACGTAGTAATGCTGGGGCTCGAATGATGTCATATTCTGGCTCAGGCATCACTGCTTAACAGGAGGATTAGTGTTCCCTCGCCAACCGCGAGGAAAGTGCCACTGCTGCCACCCTGGGTGGCCCTGAGGTGGCCACCCGGCCAACTCCTTGGTCCCCCAAGACAAGAGGCTAGCAAGGCATTTGCCAGGGCGATTGGGGGGTGGCTTTTTTTGCCGCCCCCCAGAAAGTGTTGCCCAAGGCAAATGCCTTGTTTGCCTCAGGGTAAATACACCCCTGGGTTTCTGTAAACCCGTTTTTTTACTTTGGTTTGTCTGACCATTCTTGCTCTCTGTCTTATTTTTGTGTACCTCTAACTTCCCTGGCATTGGCCTTTTTATGTTTATTCTGTATTAAATAGTACAGAGGACACTGCCCTCCCTTGCTTCCCAGGGTGCAACTGGATCTGAGGTAGTCCAAACACCACTTCATAGTTTGGAAGGTAGGCAATGGTCCAAGCACTCAAGGTGTAACAAAAAAAAAAAACAGGTTTATTGGAGCAGTATAAAAGCAATGTTTCAACTCTCACATAAAAGCTTTTTCTTTGTACCGTGAGGGCCAAAACTTTGCTTAGAGTTTATCTGTGTGTAACACTGACACCCATAGATCGACATGTGAACAGAAACCCTGACACAAGCATGCACACATAATACAGATTAAGGAACAGCGCTGTTCCTTAATCTGTATTATGTATAAATTTTGGTCTCTATATTCTCGCCATATTCTATTTTGGAGCGGGTACTTCCGGCAGTGTCGGAGCAGCCTGAAAGGATCCCATGGCACTTGTCAAACCAATGGGTATTGATGGACCCCCTGATCCACTGCGGCCATTGCGCCAGCTGCATTATCAGTAGTTCTATGATGGGGATGGGGTACTGGGCTGTATTAAGATGTGAATAACCATTTTATTTACTGCTGCCAATGTAGTTCTCAGTAACTTTTTATTAGAGAAATAAACAATGATATCAAGATACAATAAAGTGCATATTCAGATAATAATCACATTTTGGAAACCACTGTCTTCTAGAAAGTGTTGTGCAGAACTCTGTCCCAGATAAATATAACTTCTGGGTTTCAGCATCATATCTCCAATGTGAAATTTATATATCTTTATTTCTGCTTTCTAGGCATGTGCATGGGGAAAATTTTCGGTTCGGTTCGGGTCTTTCGCAATTCGGGTCTTTCGCAATTCGGGTCTTTCGCAATTCGGGTCTTTGGCAATTCGGGTCTTTGGCAATTCGGGTCTTTGGCAATTCGGGACTTTGGCAATTCGGGACTTTGGCAATTCGGGACTTTGGCAATTCGGGACTTTGGCAATTCGGGACTTCGACACTTTAGAACTTCGACACTTTGGGACTACTCTTGCAGTTAATATGGATTATGGATTTTTTATTTGGCCTTTTTTGGGGCTGAAAAAAGATTTTAGAAGAAAACATCAAATGGTAAGTTAGTTTTTCTTTTTTTACAGGTACTTAGTTAAAGGTCCCCCCTCATTATTTTTAGGGTGAGGGGGGTAGGTAGGGGTTAATTTTTTGTTTTGGGGGTAACATTTTTATTTAGGGCCCCCACCCGCCGCTCAGGGGTAGGGGCCAGAGGGGAGGACAATAGGTCCCCCCTATTGGTATTTAGGGCCCCCACCCACCACTCAGGGGTGGGGGCCAGGGGGAAGGACAATAGGTCCCCCCCTTATTCTAATTTAGGGCCCCCACCCACCGCTCAGGGGTGGGGGCCAGGGGGAGGACATTAGGTCCCCCCTTATTAGTATTTAGGGCCCCCACCCACCATTCAGGGGTGGGGGCCAGGGGGAGGACATTAGGTCCCCCTTATTAGTATTTAGGGCCCCCAACCGCCGCTCAGGGGTAGGGGCCAGGGGGGAGGACAGTAGGTCCCCCCCTTATTAGTATTTAGGGCCCCCACCCACCGCTCAGGGGTGGGGGCCAAGGGGGAGGACAATAGGTCCCCCCCTTATTCTAATTTAGGGCCCCCACCCACCGCTTAGGGGTGGGGGCCAGGGGGGAGGACATTAGGTCCCCCCCTTATTAGTATTTAGGGCCCCCACCCACCATTCAGGGGTGGGGGCCAGGGGGAGGACATTAGGTCCCCCCTTATTAGTATTTAGGGCCCCACCCACCGCTCAGGGGTGGGGGCCAGGGGGGAGGACAATAGGTCCCCCCTTATTCTGATTTAGGGCCCCCACCCGCTGCTCAGGGGGACATGACTGATGCATAGATAAGGGGATGGGACAACAGGGATGCATTGTGACAATATGGGAACTGGATATATAGGGGAAAACTGGTTGGGGATTTACCAGTCAACTAGGAAAAGTGCAGGGATCCTGACTTTCCTGCCCTCCCTCCCTAGGTTCTAGTGCAATTGTTTGGTCGTTTTTTCTATGTGTGCTTTGGTTTTTTCTCTTCTTGTTTTGTCACAGCATGCAGGAGTCCTGGCCAGCGCAGTCCTAAGCGGAAGAAGGTGCCGAGGCGGCTTGGGGAGTCGCAGCCTGCCTGGAGCTGATGGCAGGGGCAAGCTGCTCCGGACTACTGGTTTAATGGGATAGATCTGTCTGTTGGCGAAGCATCCCAACAGCCTGCAGTGGTGAATAGTTGCTGGCATTGATTAATTAATAA